GGAGCATAATTTTGGGCATAATAATATTGCCCATTAGTTTTCATTGACAAATATTAATATTGTTTAAGAAATTCAATTGTAATATGGGATACATTAAACACTTATTTAATCAAGAATCATGAGTTCTTAAGGAATAAAACACCACAAACATTGCCGTCATAAGAGATGGCTATCTTTTTTATAGTTAACAGTTAACCCAAATTTTTGGGTATCCCTAATAAAGTTGATAGAGTTGTTCCAAAGAGCTTTTCAGAGTCTTTACTTTGCCATATGAAAACTAGATATTTAAAATCCAAATTTTAGTGAATATTGAGCAAGTTCTTTTGTAAAGGTAGTGAAAACAGTTGCATCATTTCAAACATGAAAACTTGGTTTAAGGGGCTGGAGCAATGTTTCAAAAATTAAGAGCACTGGCTGTTCTTACAGAGGACCTGGGTTCGAGTCCCAGCACCTACATGGTGGCTGACAACCATCTGTAATTCCAGTTTCAGGGGATTTAACATTCTCTTCTGTCCTGCAAGGGCACTGTACAACATGGGTGCACCTTCCTACAAGCAAGCAATACACTCATACACATAAAATAAAAATAAAAAGTAAAAACTTGGTTCAAATAAGGTAGAGGAGTTGGAATAAGCAGTAATAACAAAAACCTAATTAATGTTGTCATTTGTAACTTGTTCTAGTTTGTTTTCTGTTGACCAAAAGCATCTTGGGGGAGGAAACAGTTTATTTGGCTTCCAGGTTATAGCCTGTCATTGAGGGGAGTTAGGCTAGAACTGAAGCAGAGACCAAGGAGGTACACTGCTTAGTGGCTTGCTTCCTTTGTCTTGCTCAGGAACTTTCTTATATAAAGCAGGACCAGCTGCCTAGGAATGGCACAGCTCACAATGAGCTAGGCCCTTCTACATCAATTAGCAATTCAGAAAATCTCACATAGAGATTGAAATTCCCTTTTCTCAGATATGTCTAGGTTTGTATCACAGTTGACAAAACCAACCAACACATAGCATAAGACAAGATTAGCATTTTTTTGTTGTTATTTAGAAATATACCAAGTAAAATTCTAGGTATCTTAGACAATCCCTAGTGCATTAATAAGATAGTGACTTCTTCCTGCTTGCAATCCTGCCTAGAGGGGGCAAAACTTCCTAGCTACAGCCAAGTAGTCTGCGAGTTGCCTGCTTCCCTGAAAAATTCAGGGAAGTGTAATTTCCCTTTCTTGTTCATGTCTTTTTTTACTAAATATGCTTTCTTTAAGGCTTTTGGCTGCCCCCTAGCGTCTCGCTTTTTTTAAGTTACTGTCTCTAAAACTTCCTTCTCCCAGCCAGGTGGCTGGCTGCCAGGCAGCCACATGTCAGGTGTCTGACCTCCCACGCAGGCTCTAAACCTGCATGGCCTCCTCTCTCTCTCTCTCTCTCTCTCTCTCTCTCTCTCTCTCTTCCCATCTCCCCCTCTCCTCCTCTCTCCTTTCCTTTCCTTCCCTTCCCTTTCCCCCATTCACCTCCTCAAGGCAGCTGCCAAGATTACCACCTCTCCTGCCGTGAGGATTTCTTTTTCTTTAAAATTCTAATAAAACTGTAAAAGCTTTAAAAAAAATTTTTTTTTAAGTGAGAGATACTAGAAATGTCATAGGGATTTTTATTTTAGTTACTTGGGGTACTCAGTTGTCTGTGTAATTGAAGAGTAGTATCCAGCTTTTTTGAAGTCCATGCCAGATGTGTTCCCAGAAGACATCTGTACAAGTTTGTGGTGACAAAGTGAACTTTCTTCTGAACTTTTAGCATAGTGTTGTTAGAAGTACCTGATAAAGTCTTTTCCCTCCATGCTGAGGGAAGTTTTCCATGTGACACATTACTCTTTTTTTTTTTTTCAGTTGATGAAACGATATGGTATTAGTTCTCACTAATCTAGTTGTTCCTCCTCCAGGAGCTCACTGTGGAAGGAATCTGTAACCAATTGTGTATTGTTTAAAAGCCCCTTAATATAGTGTACATCTCTCTTTAATAGATATGTCTCATAATTTTTTAACTTAATTTCTTGTAGGAGGCCTAGTACTTATTTTATAGTAAAATAGTGGGTGTTGTCCCAAAAGGGTGGATCTTAGATTTAGAAGAATTAATGAGAGTGTCTTAGGGGAATGGAGAGTTGGCTCAGTGGTTAAGAACACTGGCTGCTCTTGCAGAGAACCCAGGATCATTTCCTAGCACTCACATGGTGGCTAACAACTATCTGTAACTCCAATTCCAGGGGATCCAACACCCTCTTCTGACCATCACAGCCATTGCACAACACAGTTGCACTTACATGCATGCAATAATATACATTCACTCAAATAAAATAAAAATAATAAATAAAATTTAAAAATGAGAGTGCCTTAGGCTAATGAAGCTGAAAGTATTATTTTGTGCCATTTGTTCAACATCACTCTGAGGATGGATGATAATGAGCACAACAAAATTTTTGTATAAGAGTTCTAAGTTTACAAATAGATATAAATACTTGTCTACTAAAATAAGTTTTATAATTACTAATTAGAAGGAATGTCCCAAATAGGATAACTGTTTTTAATATATTTCTTCCCCCTGTTAAGATGGTGGGAAGCAAAGGCCTTATCCCATGGTAAACATAGAAACTTAGAATCTGAATAAAATTTAATTGTCAAGTTTTAAATGTTTTTTCCAATAATAGATAAGTATTTATTCCCCAAGTAATTTTTTTGTAGCTGTTACTGAAAGCAGATTCGTACTTAAGAAAACATTATTGTAAACAGAGAATCAGTCTTAACTCAGTGTATTGAATTTTGACCTTGGGTATTTTTATAACTTTTAATTACAGCCAACTTAGTTATATCCATATCATCTTTCTTTACATTTTAACTTCCATGATCAGGAGTAGGGGCTCATGAACCCCTTCCTTCTCCATGCTAGAGTGTTGACTGGCTAGATCTTGTGTAGGCAACCACAGCTGCTTTGAGTTCATGAGTAGAGTGGTCTTCTCATGTCTAGATGTTTGTTTGTTTGTTTGTTTATTTATTTATTTGTTTTTCCCTGGTCCTCTCTTACCTCTGGCTCTTACAGTCTTTCTGCCCCTTCTTTGATAGTCCCTGAGCCTTGGGATGTGTGTGTGTGTGTGTGTGTGTGTGTGTGTGTGTGTTACAGATAATCCTATGTGTGGCTGAGCACTCCACTGTCACTTATTCTCTGCACTTTGACCAGTTGTGAGTTTCTACATTAACCATCATCCACTGTACAAAAGGAGACTTCTGTCATATATGTTAGATAGTTCTTAACATACATAACAGAATGCATGAAATCCTATAGGTGGGCTATTGGGTGATGCAGTTGGGGAGGGGGCATAAATATAATTAAGAATATTGTATGAAATCTGAAAAAAATCACATTAGAATAAAAATATACTTTGGAAAAAAAGGAAACAAAATTCTGTTGGCATTAAAAAAAAAGTTCTCTTGAGGTCTCAGAGCCATACTAATTCCAATTTAAAACTGGTCCACACAGCTGCTATAGCCTGGTTCAGTACTCCAATATCTCCTTTTACTGTAGATGTAATTTCTAAAATGTATTTATGTTATGAATTTTATCATCTGTATTTTTTTAGATACTCTAAATGTTCAGTTAAAGCTAGTTGCCCATTCATGATCTTTTCTTTGTTGTTGTTTGGATTTTTGTTTTGAGGAAGGGTCTCAATACTTAGCTTTGGTTGACCTGAAACTCACTATGTAGACTCATGGAGAACATTCATGATTATTTAGGTCATGTAATAAGTCATATTGCTGACTTATAAGTCATTAATGCTTCTTTAGAATTTTATGTCAAATATATACTTAAAGATTAATTGTTACTATTTTATTATTTGGGAAGGGAATCCTGATGGGTTACATTTAGACATCATAATAATCTTTGTGGGATTGGGAGGACAGTGTCTCCTTAGAGTTTCAGCTGGCCTGGATCTCACTGTGCAGACCACGCCTGGCCATAATAATCATTCTGATGCTGAACTGAAGTTTTATAATAGTCAAAGTATTGTGCTAGTTATTATAGAAAGTAAAATAACGATGCTTTATTTTCTAATTCCATCTATAGTGGAAGAACAAGGTATTCTGTGAGGTAAAAGAGGTGTTTGTCACCAAAGACTAGGATTATCAAATAATGATAGAATCAGCTCTAGCCATGTTTATAGGTTGCTTGCTACACCTGAGACTGTTCTCAGTTTCCCCGACCCCCTTGTGCACCTGTATACAGGAACAGGTTTGTGAGTAAGCTGCCTGGGCAATGATTGAGCATATCAAAATCAAGTGGAAAGTTCCCAAACTCAGCCTGAGCAGAGATTAAGCATACAGTTTTGCACATGCACTCATTTGATTTGCCTCTCAAAGGATGAATAGGCAGGGACAGCCAGAAGGAGTATGGAATTCTAAAGAGCTGAACTAGAGCTGGAGGATAAGATATAATTGGCCTTTCCTTTGTTTATAATTAACTACAAATAATTCCATGCCAGCATTACCAGTTAGATATTTTCAGCTGATAGCCCTTTCCTCTTTAGTGTGTTAAGCTATTCATGCCTAAATATGCTTAAAAGAAGTGAGGTACCTTGATTTAGATATTCCTTTAGTTCATACCTTTGCCTTTTCTCAATCAGTTAAATAATATGCCATGTGTTACTTCAATTATACATTAAACTCCTAACCGCTTTGAGCAGTCTTAAAATTATGAGAACCTTCATTAGAATGGAACCGAGTGTACAAACATGTGGAAATGAATCATTGTGAATTTAATATTTCGACCTAGATTATCTCAATGTTTTGGCAATATTACCTTTATGTGTGCATGCAGTACACATTATGTATTAGTACTAAAGTTACCTTTTTAACATATATATTAACTGATTTTAATTGAAAATACAGACCTCAGACTTGAGTTGTACATGTATCTTAATAGCATGTCTGTGTTGTATTAAATATTTAAATGCTTATTTTTTTTCAGCTACCAACCAATAGTTGACTACATAGATGATCAGTTTGAGGCCTATCTTCAAGAAGAACTAAAGATCAAGCGCTCCCTCTTTAACTACCATGATTCTCGTGTCCATGTGTGTCTCTACTTCATTGCCCCAACAGGCCATTCTCTAAGGACACTTGACCTCTTAACCATGAAGAGCCTGGACAGCAAGGTGGATTAGGAAGGAAACCAACTTTTCAGACTTTAATATATTTTGAAATATTAAAGTATCCTTATGATATATATATATGCACATTTTGTAGCTTTTATTCTGTATATCTTTAAAACATTTATTAAGTTTCTATCTTAGCTTATTTTTCCAGGGAAATTCAGTTTGAGAGATGAGACACAGAAACTAAACAAGTTAAATTTGGTTAAATTTGTTAGAAGTATTCTGTACATTTTTACATAGAATTTATTTGGCAATAATTTCACTTTCTGACATAAATGTCAAGAAGAACCTTGTTGACAAAATGTAATGTTTCATCTTATAGTGAAAAATGTTTTAGTTTGTACCATAACAAGAAAACCTTTTTTAAAAGTTTTTTTTTTTTTTTTATTGTGTATGCGTGTATTGCCTGCATGCAGGTAAGTGCACCCATGTTGTGCAATGCCCACAGAGGACAGAAGAGGCTGTCAAATCCCCTGGAACTGGAGTTACAGACAGTTGTTAGCTGCCATGTGGGTACTGGGATTCAAACCCGGGTCCCCTGCAAGAACAGCCAGTGTTCTTAACTGATGAGCCATCTCTCCAGCCCCTTTGAAAAGGTTTTTAAAACAAGCTACTTCTAAATTTAGGAAGTTATAAAGCAGTTCCATAAATTACCTCACTGATGATTTTTTTGTATTCACTTGAAAGTAGATTAAAGACTAGTTACTATTCTAATCCTGAAATAATTCTCTAGAGCTTTCCTGTAACCTCTCCTGGAGTGAGGAATGCAGCTTTTGTGATCCTGACTACTGATTTCTTAATAGAATTCAAAAGGCAAAGCCATTCTAGAGGTCCTGCTCTCTTTCAGGATTAGAATGGAAAGCATGAGCCTACCATGGAAGCCTTTCACATATTGATTTGATATTGTCAGTGTCCACTCACTTTAGCCGCCTGCTTATCCAATCAGATTTGATCACATATTGTAACTGTTTGGCCTGTCATAGCTGAGTCTTGTTCATGTAGAAATTTATTCTCATTAAAGGAGTAAAATCAAATGCACATCTTTGTGTTAGAAGCAACATGATGCAATGTTATAAAGATCATAGAATTTGTTGACACTGGAAGACTGATTTTAAATACTGACTCTGACACTTAGCTATTTGATCTGTGACAAGTGCCTTTAGCTCTCTAAGCCTGTTTCCATACCCCTTAATACGCAAACTAAGAGAAGCCCTACTTCAAGTTGTGTATGTAAAAATTAATTAAATTGATCCATGTAAAGAAAGGGTTTAGCAAAAGACAGTCCCAATAAGGGATGGCTATCATCACTACCTTATAAAATGTCATAATGTATAGTCTCTGATACTATGCATTCAATATAAAAAACATTTGGGCATGCAAACATGTTGGCTCACCTTTCCTCTTCTCAACATCCAGAATATAATTATATGTCATAAAACAGAGGATTATTTTATTATAATGAATAAACAAATCTCCGGCATTAATAGTTCAAAGATAATCTTTGTTTTTTTGTTATAAAGCATCATCCTCCTTGTAAAAACAAGTATCTTTTTCTTTTATCTTACATAAGACAGTTGTCTCAGGTTTAGCTATGGCCTCCTAGGCTTAATGTACTTTCCTAGTATAAAATGGGCAATAGAAGTCCAGGTATGTGGTGATATATGCCTGTAATCCCAGGTACCTGGAGAGACTGATGGAGGAGAATCATTCGAGACCAGGAGTTTGAGAATAGCCTGAGCAATAGTGTGAGACCTTGTCTCGGAAAAAAAAAAAAAAAATCTAAGAAAGGTGATGTGATGTCGCCGCAGATACAGCTTTGTAATACGGACTTGCCTAGGGTGTGCAAGGCTCTAGGTCCAATTACAACAAACTTTTTTTTTTCTTTTTTTGACACAGGGTCTCCCTGTAGCCCAGCTAGCCTGGAACTCACTGTGTAGACCAGGCTGGCCTCAAACTCACAAAGATATACCTGCCTCTGCCTCCCAAGTGCTGGGATTAAAGGTGCACATCACCACGCCTGGCTTAGGTCCAATTCTTAACACTACAAAATCTAACTAAAATAATGAAATCAATTAAATAAGTAATAGAGAGCAGTGGATCACTGTCTGGTTTGCCTTCAGCCCAGCCACTTACCAGCTTGTTTCTGTGCTGGGCAAACTAGCCAGGCTTCAGTGAGCTCACTCTAAGACTTCTATGAAGATTATCTGAGATTTATTACAAAGCAGTTAGTACAATACTTGCACGTAGGAAACAATTATGTTACTCATTCTGTTAAAGATCTTTGTATTAATAGTTGAAGACTTATTCAGAATAGTCTCATTTTGGCAATGGAGGTACTTGCCAATGCAGCCACCTTTACCTCTCCAAAGTCTTCAAGAGAAGCTAGCTAGGAGCAGTTTGTGCTGATAAGCTCTGTTAGTGGGTTTTCAGGAATAAGCAGAAGAGATTATGAGTGCTTATTCAGCAGTCCAACCTTTTAATCATAAGAATTATATATTATATACTACCAAATACTTTGAAAAAGCATTATGGTTTTACCTATTCAATAGGAACATATTTCATTCAAAATGAACTATTTTATTATAACAATAAATGATTGTCAGCATTAGTCATTCACTTGAAGATTATGTCTACCCTGTTCTGCTTTATTCAGGGGATGGGGACAAATTCTAAAATTGGGTCTCCTTTATCAAGATACTGCCTTTAGTTTTCTGTTAAACAAACCAGATAAGGCATGCCGTGAGTTTAAAAAGAAAAAAACATGCCTCAGTTACTCAATTTGGCACTTAATATACATGAATATACAGTTTTTGTAGGGGCAGCTGTTACCCACAAGGCATTTGACAGGCTTCAGGAAACTAATTCATACTAACGAAAGATGAAGGAGCTGCTGTCTTCTCACAGACACCCAGGCCTCCTCTTTTGTTCCTAAAAGTCAAACACTTGGCTGCTTGACATGGACAGTTACTTTTATCTTACTTTGATAATGACAAGTGATTATCTTTGGCAGTGTCAGTTATTTCATTCCCTGTGAGAGCACTGTACAAAATGTTGATTTAATATATTTATGCAATTTATTAGGGAAGTAATCATAATTTATAAATGTCATAATTTATTGAATATCTAAGTATAAATTATTGAAACCAAGGACTTAGCACCAAAACTAGTTTACTCACGATGTTGGAGTGTTCTGCCATTAAGTTCATAGGTAGATGGCAAAACCCTAATCTTTTGGAGCGCATGGAAGGCTAGTAAATAGAGATATGCACACTGAATTGGTGCAGAATTAGAGAAGAGGCAAAAGGTTAAGAATACAATAGGAATCACAATTTTATTTTCACTTTTATTCTGAAAAATGCATTGTGATCTCTCATTTTCTTTGCCACATATATTTAATTAGCCTGAGGGTTTTGATGAAAAATAAACTGAAAACTAAAACATGATAACAAAAACTCAGTTTGTGCCAGGCATGGTGTGCACACCTTAATTTAAGCCCAGCACTCGCAAGGCAGAGAGAGGCAGACGGATCTCTGTGAGTTTGGGGTCAGCCTGCTCTACCTAGTGAGTTCCAGGTCAAATGGGGTTACATGGAGACACTGTCTCAAAAAAACCTCAGTTTGTCAAGACATCAACCTTTGATGCAGACGTTAAACTCTTGCAGAACTAAGTTTTCAAGTTAGTCTTCATGACCCCAATGTTTCTTCCTCTCAGGTAGTGAGAGGACTGGAACAATGTGGAAGAAGCCATCAAGAACACTTTCAGTTGGATTGGCAATTTCCTTCCTATGTATGCTATTTAGGTAGGAATCTCTGATGACTTCCTTGACAGGGGTTGAGGAAAGGAGGAAAGAAGAGGCAGAAAGAACATTGTTACCTGTTTTCTAGTTTTCCTTAGTTCCATTGCTTAGATTATTAAGAATTTTACAAGTTGTTCTTTCAAAAGACAATTATTGTAAGACCTGCATATATAGGAATGATGTATAAAGATATGTGCACATGAGAGTGACAGCTAATGATTTCCTTAGTTAGAGGTCTGCGCTTTTTCTGTAAAAGGCTAAGTAAATCTGGTGGATTCCTATGCTGTGGCAGCTACTCACCTTGGCTGTTACATAGTGGTGTTAAATTAATCTTTATTTATGAAAAGCAGGTAGCAACTCCTGATCAGAGAAATTTATTGTCAGAGACTGAATGGTATTTGTGTGGAAAACAGTGACTACAGGATTAAGAAAAAAATCCTCAGTGATGGAGATTGTGGATTTTCTTTCTTAATAGGTGAACATTATACCATTGATTGCCAAGGCAGATACAATTTCTAAAACTGAATTACAGAAGTTTAAGATGAAGCTCATGAGTGAATTGATTATCAGTGGCGTTCAAATATATCAGTTCCCAACAGATGACGACACTACTTCCAGGATCAATACTGCCATGAATGTGAGCTCCCCACTGACCCTAACCTTCTAGTCCTGAAAGAAAAGCTAAGTTCTGAGTAATATTGTTGCCACAAAAGTCCTCTTTATCTGAGATTTTACTTCCTGAAATTTTTGATTACTTACCCATGGTAACCAGAGTTTGAAAATATTAAAAGGGAAAATTGCAGAAATAACCAGTAAGTTCTAAGTTTAAGTGCCAGTCTGGATAGTATGGTGAAATCTCATCACAAGGGCATTTTATCAACTGACATCATCAAAATAAGGATGATTATAGTATAAGGTATCTTGAGAGAGACCACCATCACATGTTTTTATGGTCTATTGTTATAGTTGTCTCCATTTGATCATTAGTTATTGTTACTCTCAAACTGTACCTAATTTATAAACATTCATAAATTTGTATGTGTAGGGAAAGTATAACATCTGTGGATCTGTGCATAATCCACATTTCATCACCTGGGGATCTTAGAATGTACCACCCATGGATAAGGCTAGACCCACTGTGATGTATTTTTACTTGTGTTTCCCAAAAAGACTTCAAGCAAGGTGAAATGTCTAAACGTTCAGTAGAAAAAAAACTTTTTTTAAAGCTGAGAATGGCTACTGAGAATGTATTTTTATGTATATTTTCCTTCCTCTCTGCTGTCACCTGAATAAAGTAATACATTTGTGAGACTGAGATACACCTTTGGTTGAACCATATTTAATTCCCTTCTGGGGCTGGAGAGATGGCTCGGTGGTTAAGAACATTGGCTGCTCTTGCAGAAGACACAGGTTTGAATCCCAGTACCCACATGGCAGCTAACCACTATCCTAACTCCAGTTTCAGGGGCTCCAGTGCCCTCTTCTGGTCTCCACAGTGTTTGCAAAACATGGATGTACTTATGTACGTTTGGGCAATAAATACACTTATACAAAGAAAATAAAAATAATAAAATATATTTAAAAAGAGAAAGGCTCTTTTCCATCCCATTTTAAAAACAGGAAAAGACTGTGCAGCCTCCCTTGGGATGCTTTCGAATCCAGTCCTTAAGGAGATCTCATGAAGCTGATATTGCCCCTCATCTTCCCTTGAGGTGTCACATGCACAATGAAACATTTACCTAATTTAATTTATTGTAATTAAGATGACTAATTCTTTATTTTCCTCAAATTATCACTTATTTTTTAGTGGTTTTGTTGCAAGAAGGTCTCCTTGTAGCCCCAGCTGGCCTAGAACTTACTATGTAGACCAGGCTGGCCTTGATCTCACAGAGATTGGTGTGCTTCTGCCTTCTGAATACTAGAAATAAAGGCATGGGTCACCATGCTCCCCTCCTTTAATTACCACATTTTCTTAAATGTTTTGTATTTTGGAGGCTCAGGCTTAATCATGTTTTACAACACTTACCTCCTGGAATGCTAACTTACTTATAAAATTTGGTTAATAGTACCAAATTAAGGGCTGCTTCGAGATTAAATGATGTACCTTTAGTTAAGTGCCTAACAATAACCTACAGTAAGTGTTCGTTCTTTTTCTTCCCCTTTTCTGATTTTTCCATACACCACTGCATTTGATACTTTTCTTGTTGCTGTAACAAAATACCTGACAAAAGCAACTTAAGTCAGGAAAGTTTATTTTGGCTCCTACTTGTAGATTACAGCCCATCATGGCATTCAAGACACAAAAAACTAACATCAACTGCTAAATTTTAAACATAGTACATGCTTTTTACATTAGCCTTTTCCCTTGTTTCACTCCTCAGTGTTAGACAGGTTCATGCCCTGGGATTGGGCTATTATTGCATGTTATTCAGAATCTTTCCTTATGCTAGCCCTCTTACTCTCTTTGATCTGTTCAACTCTCCTCCTTCCTGGTCTAACTTGGATTATATCTCCCTTTTCTCAATAATCTCTTTACCCTCTCAATTTCTATAGCATTTACTATACTAGCAACATTTTGAAATATCCATGACTTTATATTACTACCATATGTTGATATACTAAATGTCTCATTCTATATACTATAATGTATATAGTTTCTTCATCTTTATTTTTAGGGAAGAGATAAATATTGGTGAAGTTGCCAGTTGTATGAAAGTTCTGCTCCTCTTCCTACTTTTCCTCTTTCTTTAAATTCCAACTGACATTATGTTTTGCATGTAGAAGATGCTCAGGAAACAATTTTCTATGTAGTTTCTAAAAGTAATTCTTGTAGAATAATTTGTATATATTCCGAACTTATTATAATTGCTGTTTAATTATCATGTTATTTTCATAAATTATGTAGTCACTTATCATATTGGTATAAGAAGATAAATTGATATTTGGTTCCTTTTCAGGGACATTTGCCGTTTGCTGTTGTAGGAAGTATGGATGAGGTACCAGTTGGAAATAAAATGGTCAAAGCTCGTCAGTATCCTTGGGGTACTGTACAAGGTAAATAAGATAAATGATGACTGAAAATATATATGTTCTTGGTATTCTCAAAATTGCATTGGATACATTGTTTGAGGTGATGCCTGTTTTAGATTATAATAATCAGAGGAACTGAACGCATACTGTTTGGATCAGTCTTTTGAAGCTAGACAGTGCCTCCCCATTCTTCTTGTGTCTTGCCATATTATCTTCCCTGATTACCTTCAGAAGGTGAGATGCATGGATGCACACTTAGATAAGGATATGCCTTTTTCTTTGATGCTGGGGATCCAACCAGTGTGCTCAAGCATACTAGGGCATTCCATGTGCAACTACATCCCTAGTCCCTGATTAGAATTTAAATCTACAAAGCAGTGATTAATCATGATACATAAACTAATTGTTACTTAACTATAGATTAGGACACAATAAACCACTTTGTAAGTATGGATATATTTTCTGATCAACATATTGTTAAACTGTTTCCAGAAGGAATTAGTGAGCTGACTTAAAAAGTTAAAACCGGGCATGGTGGCTCACACCTTTAATCCCAGCACTCAGGAGACAGAGGCAGGTGGATCTCTGTGAGTTCAAGGTCAGCCTGGTCTACATAGTGAGTTCCAGACTGGCTAGGGCTGCATCTGGGGACAATATGTAAAAAAAATTAAATTAAATTAAATTAAATCCAATTACCTGACATTATTATGAGCAAGTAATTACCAGGATCTCTTTAATCCACTTTTTATTTGTTTGCTTTGTTTTCAAGTTTTGAGGCAGGGTCTTACTATATAGTCTAGGGTGGCCTGGAACTTATATCTTCCTGCTTAAGCTTCCTTGAGTTCAAGGGCATTATAGGCCTGTGCCAGTGCATTGGTCTTTATTTGTGATGGCAGTTAAGTGGGGAATAGATTACATATACTATTACTGATTCACTATATTTTATATTAAATCAACTTTTGTTGGTTTGATTTTGGTTTTTTTGAAATGGTCTTGCCTATATAGCCTAGGCTGACCTGGATCTTGAGATACTCTTATCTCTACCTCTGGATTCTTGGGATTATAGGAAATACCACCATGCCCAACTGATAAGTTTTTAAATAAAATGTTGAAAATCCTTTAATTAAAATATAAAATAAGAGCTGGGAATGGTGTTACTCTACTCCAGGTTACTTGGGGGAATGAAGCAGGAGGATTTCAAGTTTGAATCCAGTTTGGGCAACACAGTAAGACCTATTTTAAATCAAGGAATGAATAAATACATTTTAATTTAAAAATCTTGGTCACTGTAATATATTTATTTGTAGTCCTCTGCTCATCATAAATGTAGAAGGACCGTATTAGTGTATTCACTAATTTCAAGTAATGTTTAGCACAAATTCATAAATGTAACACTATAGAAAAAGAAAGGGTACATTTAAGATCTTAACAGAATTGACTGCTTCAAAGTGAAATGATGTTACTTATTCTTTTTAAAGCACCATGTGAAATGTCCTGAGTATAGCTGGTAAACTGATAAAATATTAGTGAAATAATGAGCATATGGCAATTTAATGAAAAAATATTTATTTGCTATTCCTTCTTTATCTATTGGCTACAAAATTTAAAGCTGATCTCCCAGTAAGTTCATTAACATTGCCTGTAATACAGTTTTATAATGCATGAGTTTCTTTCTTGGTTACTTGTATATAATGATAGTAGCTGTTAATCAGAACTGACCATTTTTCTGTTACTTCATTTGTGCTTTCATTATTCATTTGATAATCACTAATTGTATGCTAGGAATTAAAAACCAGCATTGCTCTTTTCTTATTTTTCTCTGGCTAGTGGAAAATGAGAATCACTGTGACTTTGTAAAGCTTCGGGAAATGCTTATTTGTACAAACATGGAGGATCTGCGGGAACAGACCCATACTAGGCATTATGAGCTTTACAGGCGTTGCAAACTGGAAGAAATGGGCTTTTCAGACTTGGGTCCAGAAAACAAACCCGTCAGGTAAGGTGGTCTTTGTTGAGAAGCTAGGCACAGAGCAAGCTAGAAAGTATTACTCTTTCTTATATATCCAGAGTGATGGGGATAACCATGGAATAGATTAATTTGACAGTAAGTAATTATTATACTTTTCCAGTCAGCTGTTACCTCCTTACTTCTGAAGGTTCTTTATGTCTTACTCTAAAAGAGTTAAATAAAACCAGACCAGTAATACCAGCTACTTAAGAAGCTGAGTCATGAAACTGACAAGTTCAAGACCTTCCTGGACTATAGAAACAGTTCAAGGCCAACTTAGGTAACATAGCAAGACCGTGTTTCAAAATAAACAGTTAACAGGATGGGGATGGGGAACTGGTGACGTAATTCAGTGTGAGAGTACTTATCCAGTATGCATAAGGCCCTGTACAAGCAAAAAAAAAGAAGGTAAGTAAAATCAGTAAAAGCAATAAAATACTGATGTGAATAACTGAAGGAAACCCCTCACTTTTTGTTTTTGTTTATTTGAGGGGTTTTTTTGTGTGCTTCTGTTTGAAGCAGATGAAAGTATTGTTGCTATCAGACATGAAAAAGTTTGACCATAAATATTATTAAATCACCTAAAACTTTATCAGTTACCTTTTTTTTTTCTATCTTGCAAATCTTTTTTTTTTAATTTTTAAAAATGATTTATTTAATAACAACATACTTAGAAGAAGCATATCATTACAACACAATTGACATATTCAATAACGTTTTCCTGAGGTAGGATGCATCTCTTTCAAATTTGGCTGTAAATTTTTAGGTTTACAGTTGAATTATTACAGTTATACAATATTGTACTCAGTATAAACCCTATAAG